TCATCTGTGTAGTTCTGTGAGGTCATTAAAGTCACCAACACATGGAGTGAACAAATTTAGAATAAGAACTGTACTTTAAAAAAAGTATTTATCCGCAATGCAGAATATTTTAATACAGAATTACAACTAATTAGTTAATCAGAATTAATACTATCCAGAGATTTACATTTTGGGAATTCTCAAGTTAAACGTAAAGTGGAAACCATCTGACAGTCTCATCTTTATAATGAAAGAGGACCTGAAATTTTAACTGCAGCAGTCAATCAATCAATCAATCGAGACTCAGCTACATATGTTGACATTTTCCATTAAAACTAAGGCGTAATTCTGCTAAGTAGAAAAGCCCAACTTACCCCTCACATTACGTGTGTGAGCTTGGCTGTCCTTCAGGGCATTCATCTCAAAGGTGTGTTTGTAGCAGAGCAGCTGGCAGCAAGAAGGCAAACTTCCTTTTTGTACTCTAAACTTCAGGTAGCATCTTAAAGAATGAATATATTTCACCCTCTGTTCTTCCCCATTGACCATCAATTTTTCTCAGATCAAAACTGTATTAAACGAATCTGAATCCTGACATTTGAACGCACAACTTCCTTACTGCAAGTAATACCAATATGTTGAAACTCTCAAATGCTGTATGTGTCTCTATGGCAATTCTCAGATTGCCCATGGAAGTGCCCTACTGCCTATCTTCTGTGCAAGTGCATCAAAAGCAGGAGCACTGCAGGGAATCATCTCCAGGTTACTGACAAGAGGCCTGAGGAGCCACTGCAGCTGATGAGGTATAAGCAAACGGCTAAAAAAATTCTTCTCTACTACTGGTAACAAGCATCTATTGTTCATATTTGTGCTACACATCACCAAATGACTGCTATTACTCATGTCAGAGAAGGCCATAAAGTGCTGAACACAGAACTGAATCTCAGGCTTTTCTGTTCAAGAGGAGTTGTTTCCACATGTTCCATGCAGAACAGACACACACCTCCCTAAGCTACAGATCTACCAGCAGTACATTAAATAGAAGGGCTGAAGAACATTATGTATGATACAAAGTCTCCCCTCTCAATGCTTCCAACAAACGGGCAAGATGACTTAATGCTTCTTGAAGGAAAATGCATCAGCCTTTTGGCCACCTTCTTATGTCAAAAAGAGTCGTTAGTAAACTGCACGTAAACACGAGTTACTAACTAATGACACTCCTAATGACAGTTCCTCTGTACTTGACCATCACTAACTAGAATATTAAGACACAGGAATCAGGTGCAGTAGGAAAGGTGAATGATTGATGAAATGGGAGAAAAGATCAGGTATGGACGAGTCACCAGAACACTTCCATAAGCTAAATGTTGTCATACAGTTAATAAAACTATGGCAGTACAAGATGAAGCATCAAAACTTCATTCCATGCAATCCCCAACTCCAAGGGACAGGCAGCAGATTCAGCAGGAAGCAAAGCAGACTTTGGGAACGACTTCAAAGACAGACGCTGGACAGATGAGATCTTGGCAAAAAATCAAAAATACAAGAAAGGAAGTTAGAAAGAAATGTCAAGCATTAAATAGAAAGATCTAGAAGTTAACACCATAGAGCTTACAATTGAAATGAGTACCTTACACAAGAGACATCACTAATACCAAGAACAAAAGAGAGCAGAAGATACAGTCTACAGAAGAACGCCTGCATGCAATTGGAAAGTATCAACAAAAAGGGCACATACATCAAGTAAATAAAACAGAGGAGACAGCAGCGGGTGCCAAGGGTGGCAGACAGAGCAGAACATACAAAACAAGAAGCACGTCTGGGATTAAGCCACAAACAAATCACCTGTGACCTCTGAGCAGTTCAGTCAACTCAAACATCAGAAGGAAGGTCGGAGGAGATCAGTGAAAGTGTGGGTGGACATAAACTCAAGGCAGTACAAAAATACACCACCAAATATTTTGAAAGAACTGAGAACAGGAGGCAGGACTGCAGTTAAAGGGCTACTTATACTGTGAAGAACACATTTCTAATTAGATTTCTGAAACAAGCACGTATTTCCAATGAAGAGAAAAGGAATAAAAGTAGTTCACACAAAATAGAGGCAGAACCTAAGGGGGGGTTTACAAACAGCAGCAAGTGTAAGCAATTAAGTGGAAAGGATGGTGACACTTAGCAGCAGAAAGTAGGTAGGAGACTTCTAAATCTTAAGAAGGATTGGAGTAAGGAGTTACAGCTATTTTTAAGCCCACTGGTTTGAAGCACAGCTAACACAGTTATTCAACATCAGCACACTCTGACATTTTAAGGAAGCACTGAATTTCCAAAACGCATTGTTTTAAATTCCTGCAGGAGAAATTTTAATGTACTTATAATTCACTTTTACCTTTTTATCCCTGCCATCTGGAAACAGTTATGGCTGTTAAAACCTTCCGCTACCAGGAGAGAAGAGGAGGGAAAACAAAACAGAAAAAAACAAGCAGGTTTCATACAGCCTCCTCCATACCAGGAAGTCAATGCAAATTGGGAATGATTTGCTACCAGCTCTTAACCTTCACCTGAGAGCTTATTTTAGGATTGAGTGGCAAGCTGTAGCTGTAGAACACAAGAGTGAGGGGGAAACAGAAAACTGCAGCTCATTCCCATTTGCAGTTACAATGTTTAAACCTCAAATTACTTAGCAAAAAAAAAAAAAAAAAAAAAAGTAAAAAGCAAAACTTTATCACCAGATTAATTGTTCATTTGTTGTGTCAGCCTCTCGCCTTATATTTTCAATGTTATACCAGTTTAAAGCTTGTGGTATGGAGCCCATCTTTAGGAAAGTCTAAAACATCGCATCTAACATTAATTGTTAGGACAATCCTGCCCTTGTTCTGCCCCAATCTGAACCCATTTTACACACGTGTTAAAAGCAAACTGATACATAATAGAGATGCTGTAGGTGAACTTCGTGCAGTACAAAAAAACACTTCACATTGCCAACAGAGCTGAGATAGAACACAGCCCTAACATCCCAGCAACCTCACTGCCAGGACTCTCAAAGAGCAAACTCAATTATGCTCATTCACATATAGCTCCAGAGCTTTTTTTAGTTTGGCATCCCCGTCCTGTTACTGTTACAAACTCCGACAACATACGCACATGCACCTTCTGCTGCCCCAAGACACCTCTGGAGCTAAAGAAAAGCTGATCCTGCCTCAATACCAGGATTTCATAATATGGCTGTCAGACTCCCTTTTTCCCCTGCCCTCATCAATTACTTTAAGTAACTAGATGCACTAGATTCACCCCTAAGCACTTTTTATCCAAGAGCAATTTAAAATAAAAAAATGTGTTATTAAACTTATTATTTTAACATCCAAATCAAAGCTATCGTCCCACCTGAATGAGTACCAAGAAAATAGTTATCAGAGGGAGGAAAAGGAAATTGCATTTTAAAAACAGAGATTCCACAAGCTAAATTGGCTCTGGCAACACTGAAAAAACCTTATCAGTTACTTCCTCCTCCCTTATTGTAGTCAAACTATTTGCATGAAACTTCTAAATGAAGTTCATATGGGCAGCAAGCCAGCCAAATCATTAAGGTGAGAAGAAAACAGCTCATCTGCGTGCAGTTGGTTCTTGGCATTAGCTTTACACGTGTGGACAGCTTGTTCTTGAGCACCATGGAATGACTTGGGTTGGAAGGGACCTCAAGGATCTTTAAGTTCCAACCCTTGCCACAAGCAGGGTTGCCAGCTGCTAGATCAAGTTGCTGGGGCCCCATCCAACCTGGCCTCACAACACGCATCCCAGCTGCCAACATCAAGGAACCACAGAGCTCAATACCATGTTTTAATATCGCTGATAGCTACACCAAATCAGGACTGCTATCAAGTTAACAAGGGCATTTGACACAAAGCTGGCACTTCATGGCCATCTTGCTCTGTGGAGGGGACAGTGCACAGCACTGCATCTTCCCGTGCATCACAGATACTATCAGCACCAACCAACCACCAGTTGTTCACAATGCAGCGCATTCTTAAAAAGCTTCTACTCCAGCATCATTCAGACACCAAAACCATTGCAAGACATGACCAAAAGTTCAACACTGGGCCTCTGTTATGCTCTTACTTCCTTCTGAGAAACCTTTCTTTCTTTGTTAGTTTAGCACAAGTACCTGTACAATTCCCTTTCTGAAATCCTGTTCTCGGCCAGCCCAGCAGCTTCTAGTCCATAAAGTCATGCTTCTTTCAGTGAGGCTGCCTACGCTTCCACAGTCCTCATAACTGTATCTCAGTGCTCTATCATTGTTACGCATAGACTACCTTCTTGAGATAGCAAACTATTATCATGCTAATAAAATGGTCTGAGGAATGAGAAGCACCGGAGGCCTGATCTTTAGAAGCTTTTAATGCGCTGTTTAAATTAACGGTAACCAGAGGCACTCAGGTTGAGGTGAGGTTAAGGTGTTCAGTGATTCTCACACAGTGTATGTCTCATCACTGGGTCTCTTAAGTCTCAAATCATTGCCTTGACTGCAAAATCAACTCGCTACATCTTGCCATAACCTAAGCCTTGCCACCAAGATATCTGCTAAACCTCACAGAACAGCAAACGTACATAAAAACACGACACCCTACAATGACCGAATGCTGCAGCGAACGAGTAGCACGTGGAGAATCAACACAAGCAAGTCTCCCAAGGTCGCCTTTCTCCATTCGGAATTAGACGAAGCTCGGGTGCCCGGCATACCTCTGCAGAGCACTGAGCGGGCGATGAGGGCTCACCCGCACCGACAGGAAGGCTTGTGCCCTGCAAGCAGCCGTCCTTCATGCAGGAAACGCAACCCGTGGGACCGGGAAGCTTCCGCGCAGGAGGCAGCCAACAAAGCTAACGGGGTGCTGGGAGAAAGACCCAGCCCCATCCCACCAGCCTCTCCCTTAAGGGCTCTTCGGCAAACAAACAGCTCTCGTTCGTTGCCCAGCTTCGAGTACAGGGCTGGCCACCGAGATACAAATAAGGAAGGAAAGAAGGAGAAGAACCTCCTAGAGCGCTCGACTCCTGGACCCTGGGAAGCACAAGGAAAGCAGAGGGCGGGCCCTTCCTCCATCTTAGGCGCAGACACAACTTACCCGCCGGACGCCTCGGCTCGCTGCTATTGGTGCGCTGCTATTGGCGCGCTCCGCCGCCGCCTCGTCACGTGGATGGACGAACCCGCCTCCTCACCCCGCTGTTGCCGGCGCGCAGCTGTTGGGGGTGGCGGCGGCGGCCGTGGTGGTGGCAGCAGTGGAATGGCGTTTGCGCATGCGCCGGAGGAGTCGTGGCGGGGCGGGTGGGGCGAGGCGGTTCCGGGAGCGCGGGAAGCGGGCGGGAGAATGGGGTGCGCACGCGCCAGCAGCGGGAGGAGGGGGAGGCGCCGGGACCCGCACTGCCCCGCCCCGCAGGAAACGGCGCCGCCCGGGCAGCGCTACGCGAGAGGGCGGGGAGGGGCGGCTGGGGCGGGAGGGATAGCGAGGTGAGCGGAGCGCCGGCCGCTTCCGCGCCGTCACTCCGGGACACCGCGGGCCTGTCGCTCCGGCCAGACAGCGGGCCGGCGGCGGGGCAGTCCTTCTCCTGTCCTCCTCGTCCTCTTCATCCCGCGGGGCGGCGGCGATCGCTCGGCCCGTCTTCTCACGCTCCGTGTCAAGCGCGCAGCCCGGCACTTGTTGCCGACGCGATGGGCGCCGGGAGCCCGGCCGTTGCCGCTCGGTAGGCGCTGAGCGAGGCCCTCCCCCGGCGCCTCGGCTCGGATCGGCTGGGCTCATCCCATCCGTCGGAGCGGCCGCGAGGGCGGCGCCCAAGGCGCCGGGCGGCCCGGGCTGCGAGCGGCCCGGCCGGGAGAGGCACGCCGAGGGACCCCGGCGGCCGCCCCCCATCGCCGCCTGCAGGCCGGCCCCGCGGCGGGAGGGAAGATGTCTTTCTTCAACTTTCGGAAGATCTTCAAGCTGGGCGGCGAGAAAAAAAAGAAGCAGTACGAGCACGTCAAGAGAGACCTGAACCCGGAGGAGTTCTGGGAGATCATAGGAGAGCTGGGCGACGGGGCTTTCGGCAAAGTGTTCAAGGTAAGGGCGCCTGGGAGCTGAGCGGCGGCTGGCGCTGAGATGCGCTGAGCTCCCGCAGGTGCGCGCCGCGCCCGGCCCGGGTGCGAGTGACGGGACGGAGCTTCCGCAGCGTCCGGGGACTAAAGATAGAAAAGGCCCCGTGAGCTCATCGGCCGCTGCACCCCGCCCTCCTCGAGTCGTGCGCTTCGCCCGTGTTTTGGTCCCGCGTGCTGATGGCTTCCGTTCTGTTCGGCTGAAGGGCTCCCGAGTGTGAAGTTGGTGGTGGTTTTTTTTTTTGTTTCGTACGTTTCTGTACGGGAGGAAGGCTGTGGATGTAAAAGTGGCTTGTGCTCCCGTGCATTGCTTATAGGGCCGAGCTCATGTTGCTCTTAATGGGCCTTCTCCTATCTTGTTCCTTATGGAACAGAGTTAAAAGGTCGTGTTACCCCGGTGTCCTTATGTGGCTGAATTCCTGTATTTCCTTACAGCTTTTTTCCTTTGTTTCATCATTAAAGGGGTATTTCCAAGGTTTGTCATGTGGGATTTCTCAAATTAGGCAGTGTGAAATGAAAATAGATTCGATGCTGTAGGTCTGGTGAGACCAAAGCTTTCAGACCAAACCTTCAGCTAATTATTTTTTCTGAATGGAGATTGCTGCTCCACATTGGATTTAGAGATAGCATGGAATGAGTGTCATGGAGGACGAGCCTGAGAGAGCCAGGGAGCTGACAGAGATTGAGACCCCAGAGCAGGTTCTCGAGACTGGACAAGCTGGCATCAGCGTACAGCACTTGCAGTGTTTCTGAAGGCTAATTTGGTCAAGAAACGTTTATTTTTAGAGTACTGTGCTTGAGAGCCCATGAAATCTGGGTACAGAGCTTGCACTCAGAAAACTTGTGCTATTTTTTGTATGTCTATTTTAAGTTTTATTGTATCCTGGTGTTACCTATTTGTAAGTTCGGGCAGAAGTGTGTTGGCACTGAGAATTCCGAATGCTGGGTGTTGTTTTTTTTTTTCCCCCCTAGGAGTTTCTGTCTGTATTGCATATTAAGAGTATCTAGTTTATTTTGATGGCTGTGTAAGGCATAGTCTGGGTGTCAGTGTGGAAGATCAAAGATTTCTTTACTAAAAGGACTGCGAAATAAGACTGAAGCTGCTACATCACAAAGCTCAGTGACTTTAAAAGAATAACGTTGTCTCTAAGAGCATTTGCAGAGTGCTCGAGTTTTTCTTGAAACTTCACATGGAGTTTTGATTCCCTTTCTGTCCCTATTATGCTTTGTGCCATAGAGACGACTGGGGGAGCTTTAGAGAAGCAGCACTGAGTGTGTTCTCCCCCACCTCCACGTGCGTTTCCTCTCCTCTCCTCACCCCTCATCTCTGGGTGTTTGTAGGCCTGTCAGTCTGGGTACCCAGCTGTGGGTGAAGGTGTCTGAGCAAGAGAAAGCTTTTGCCTTCCAGTGTCCTTCGTGCACCACGGAACTTTCAAGTTGGGGACTTATATCTGGCTGTGAAATGACCCAGTGTGAAGTGGTCATCTTGTATTTTTTGAAATTAAACCCTCTTTTAAAAACTGTGATAGTAAGAATTACTCATGCGGTTACATAGCTAAACTTGGTGAATGCAGCATGTGTGAGTGCTGACATTGGTATTGAATGCTCCCACAAAATGTTCCCCTTCAGAAAAAGAGTCCTCCTGCATTCGTTTTGCTTCCATCCAGTTTGAGGACAAAGGATTGCAGGCAGGCACTAACTGTACTTGTTTTCCTGCATCTGAGCATGCTTGGCGAGGGACTGTTTTGAAAGCAAGGGTGTGTTACAGAGTTCTTTCTTGGATATATGCCTCTGTTGAGAAACTGCTCTCGTAACCTGTTTGATACCTTTTCAAATTTTGGAGTCAAAACTGTTACCCAGAACAGAGCTGTTCATTTGGAAAGACTTTGTGCTTAAATAAAGCAAAAAAGATAATACTAATGCCAGCTGCACCTGACAAAAGTAAATCCCTTCGTGTATTATAAAGACTGGAAGCATTCCCTGAAACGTGCTTCATGAACGTGCCTCAGTAGCTTAATCATCTCCATTTCCCATTCCTGTAAGTGGTTAATGGGGTATGAATGACTTCTGCCAAAAAAACAGTGAGAGCACTTTTAGCTGCAGCCTGGTTAGGGGAGGTGGTTCAGGAGGCTGCTCTGGAGTCACCAGCCAAACAGTGACTGGGTGTCAGAAGAGATTTCTGCACACTGCCACCTCTCTCTTTCCTTCAGGAGTAAAATCAGGTTTAGTTGTTTGGCAGTGTTCTTTTTCTGGTTACTCCCAAACTGGAAAATGAATGGGAACCAGTCCGTCTGTTGGTATGGAGAGGTGTGCTGTGTTCCTTGTTGTAACTCTGTAAATGGGACCCGCAGAGGTGAAAATATCTTTGTAATTAAGATCACAAGAGTCACTGTGTGATTATCCTTGCCCTCAGTGTTTTAGACACACACACAATAAAATACACTGTCAGATAGATGAGGCTCTGTATGCGTAAGTTCTCAGTAAGCCATAGGTTGCATGGCTTGTTTTTTTTTCCTGGCAAAGTATTTGGTTTAGTTGTGAAGCTGGCTGGGATGGAAGCATCAAATATTTAAATAAAAGCTCAATACCAACTTTTAAGCTGCCCTGACACACTCGTGAAGCTGCCTGATTGTTTTGTTGACATTAGACACGCTGTGCCTTGTGAGATGGGGTTGTATGCACAAGCCTTAAAGGGCACTGAAGGCTTGTGATTTGTTTCCTTCTTCCCAATCAAATAGGAGACTCATGCTGACTTTTGTAATAGCTAAATTACAAGAAGAGCTTATTTCTTCTCAAGCTGTTCTCATTTTCTGAGGCTTGCTTAGCTCTTGCAACTCATGCATTTGTGTTCACCAACTTCTGAACAATGTTTAGAAGTACTGTTACTTTCTCCATAGCCTTTCAACTCTTGTTGCATGCCCCTCTTGTGATTGGAGGGGCTGCCTCACTGCAGACTGCCAATAGCAGAGGCTCACTGCAGTGCAGCACACAGCATCTGGCCCTTCTCAGCATCTTCAGAGGTTTTCAGACTGTTTTCTTTTTTGGTCTTGGCTAATGAATAATGGGGTGTTTTTTTTGTCCTTTGTTTTCTGCACTCTTCCAGTTTTTCATTATGAGGTGATGGCCCTTATAAGGAGAATGTTGAGGTTACTTATTATGGACTTTGTCTTTTTTTTAAGTGCAGGTTGTGAATTATTTAGAATTCTTGACTGGAGTTTTGGGGTTCTGAAAGCCACTGGAGAAGCAGAGATTTCAGTTTGTATTGGGAGTTGCATATCTATCAAACAGCTCATTTTATTTTAAAGATTAGAAAATCTTATTTGATAAAGCTTGGGGAGGGAAGGGAAGGGCAGGTTTAGGCTTCTAATGTTCTAATTAATGGTAACCCCTTGCTGTGGAAATGAGTTACATTATTATACCATGTTACATTACTGTGCTTTATATTGATATATGTATCAAATGCCAGCTGGGCGTGCATAGCAAAGATTGCTTTAAGGTAAATCGGTGTAAGTAACTGTTGAACTGCAGTCGTTCCAAGGAGCCACATGAAGTCTCAGTGGTTTCAAGCTGCTCTCTCCCAGGACAGAAGTTCATGTTCTGATGGTGCAAGAACAGCCCTTCAAAATGCCCAACGTGCTCTGCAGCTTGCTGAAGCTCTTGGCTGAAAATCTTTATTGTACAGTCACACGTAACTAATTGAAGTGGAGATATCTTCCTGAGTTGACATTCCAAGAAAAATAAAATGCTTGGACTGTATTTCAGTGAAATCTGCCAGCAGGTTTATTTTGGTGCTATGAGTGCTGTGCACCCCAGTGTAAGAGCACTTGCGTTGCAGAGAGACATCGGTTGCGTTGAGTTGGTGTGAGCTCTGAGCCCTTCTCTGAAGATACTCCTCCAAGAAATCTGTGGTCTTTTGGCTGTCGTTGCGATAATTATGGGTACCATCTGTACAAATATACTGATTTCAGGTCTTCTGGGGGAACACACAGTAGCAGAATATACAGCGGTACACAGTATAAGATACGAAGTACCCCATGTGTTTATAGGGAAAATACATGGTATGCATACACACTTGCATGGGCATTCTTGGGTTTTTATGACAAGGCTCTTCTTAGTTGCCTGATCTTGAATTGCATTCACATTCATTGTTTTGAGTTGGAATATTCTGCCCATTTAGTCTCATGTTTATTATTATGAATGTTGGATGCTGGGAGCATCGTGTGTGCTGGATTCTTATAGGAATTTGGGAAGTCAGATATCTGTATTTCATCTGAAGTACCAAGGCAGATCCTCCAGCTCTCAGCTGTTACCAGCACTTGGTTAAGAGCCGCCTCCGCTTCCTCTTTAGGCTGCAGCTGAAATGTTTGGAAGCTGGTAGCTGCAATCAGGATGAACAGCGTGACCAAATGAGTTACCTTCTGAAAATGACAGCTACCTTAAGTATTCCTATATACTGTACCTACAGAACCAGCCAATACAAACTCAGCTCTGGCTAATGAAAGAGAACTTTTGATAATTCTGTTTCCTTTAAATGAAATAAACTAACGATGTAGGTTCATTTAAGTTAAGCTTTTGTTTCTGCATTTAAAACAGTCTTGCTTTAATTGAATCAAATGACTTCTGTGGGAGCTTGCTTTTGCCTTACTGTCTTCTGCAGCACCCAGAAACATACAGTTTTTGAACACTGATTTAATAAATCTGGACTAATTTGGCTGCCTCCTTTAAGCAGCCTTATCTCCTTTTAATGCTTAAAAAATGAGCTGATGAGTGCTGGCTGCTTACAAGTACTTCTTGTCTACATCATAACTTAATTTCTAGTATTCAAAAATCTCAAAATTACTCTGGCCTGCAAACAAAATGAGGGCAGAGCAAGGAGAAGTTGTATTTTCTAATCTCAGTGACCTTACAGGCATGTTTATCTAAATCACTGCTGCAGTTGGATATTGGTGCTTGAAGTTATCTCTAGGA